TAAAGCACGTGACTTTCTCTTGGGTACTAGGCGGTCATAATAGAAATCAAGATAAGTAAAAGAGACCGACTTGGGCAAGGCTAGAAACTGCTTCCACAAGAGAGAAACTATGCAGTTATAGAAAAAGAATGCTTAGCAATAGTTTGCTCAGTAGAACACATGAGATATTACTTACTTGGCAAGCAATTTGAAATAGTCACTGACCATAACCCATTGAAATGGCTGAATGAAATGAAAGACACAAATCAAAGACTTGGTTGGTGGATACTCATTCTGCAGCCGTACAAAAACCAGGAAAGTACTATGCAGCAGCTGATTGTCTATCCAGATAATAACCTGAATTCATGACTAGTGAAATTATATTGACATTTTGTAATTTTCACCACATTTGCAGATTTTTTATGACTCAAAACCTAATCTAATGGATTCTACAGCCCAATGAATATCTACATGTCTACAGCCTAATTACAAACTCAGTCTTTTGTTATGTTCACAACATTTGTTGATTTTTCAAGACTCAAAACCTAACCTTATGGATTCTACAGCCCAATAACGCCAAAGGAGAGGGGGTTATTCGTAGAATGAATCGGCGGAGTTTTTTCATGCATTTCGCTTATGTTTTTCATCCAAAAACCATCAATACACTTTAAAACATTTCATTGACTGTACAATTGCATCATATAATCCCCAAAACTATTTCTCATTTTTAAAGATTATCTATGGATTAAGATATTTTCATTTTTCAGAGGACTGGGAATCATTGATCATGTTCGCTTTTGAACAATACTTATGCTGTTTTAAATAGGTTTCACGTATCCCAATAATTTCTCAAATTGTGTAAATGATACCCATTCCTTATTCCCTAGAATTTTCATGCAGGAACTGTTGAGATAATTGTGTTTAAAATTTTAGCTCGCATTTAAATAAAACGGTAGTGATTTACCAATGTATAGGCTCACATAATTAAAGATGAAATCTCTCTTTGCAGGTTTCTTAATGTCTGTAGAGAAACCAAAACAATTACAGTACTACTTTATGTGTACTGTTTCGCTCACATGGTGAGCTATTGTTATTTTGGATTGTGGTGACACAATGACTGGATTGTGCTGGCTCAACCACTTCAACACAACCAGGAGTCTCTAACTTAGTATGATCACTGCTACCCACCTATAGCTAATTACACAGACGTATCGTCGGTGTATCATGGCGGAACTTCCTCCGGGACTAGGTTTCGGTAAGATTTTTTTATTTCCCGATTTACACCTACTTATAAGCCACGTTGTGGATAATAATTTGGCTCGAAGTTATGTTAACAAAGACACAATTCACGTATTTAGTCCCTCGCTTTTCTTACACTGACGATCGGCATTAATATTGCCAATATTACACTGATATTGGTCGTTCGTCAGTGTAAGAAAAGCGAGGGACTATATAAAACCTAAAACCATCGACACATTCTCAAACTAGATTGTTGATATATTGACTGATAGTCTAATATGCCATGATTCTGATTTAATACCCCCAAATGATGATTGGTGATTCCTTAGTATGCTTGAGGATGCTTCAATAGATTCCCTGATATGATAAGCTAGTATGCCCTGGTTGTGATGCAATACCCCAAACTGGTTCCTTAATAGCCCTTGGTGATTCCATAGTATGCCTTGGTTTCCTAGATATCCATAATGGTTCCAAGTAGGCCATTATAGTGTTTTCCTGTCCATAAAGCACCAGAAGGCATACTAAGGAATTACCAATGCAAGGGCTATTAAGGAATTAATTTGCAGTATAAAAGCACAATATTGGAACACCAGGTTATAATGTTATAACTAATATTTCCTACGGCGACCATGCGGTCTATCATTTCTGCGGTCAGTAAAATTTCTACGCTCGCTGTAGAATTTCTGTGGTCGGATACTTTTGCAGTCATATTTCCTACGGCAACCGCACTTTGAATCTTGAATTTCTCTTGATAAACGTTAATCACTGGTGATCCACTCGATTACGCTGGTTACCAAAACGAACCGTTTTAGTAACAAAATGTCGGAACGTCGAAGGTACGATTTTTCTCGTTTCCTTATTTTACACGTTGTAGGCAGAATTCCCACGACATTTTTCAACACAAACGTGTATCAGTATTCAGCCATGATTTCTCATGATGGTTCCAACAACATTTCTGCAGACTTCGAAGAATGATTGATTGAGCCATTGCGAGGAATGGTTTATTTTGTCTTAGATTAGACTAAGCAGCTTTTCAGTGCAGTATAAATGTGTACTGTGCAAAATTCTTGATAGTTCTTCGTAAAATGTTCGGCATCCCTTTTTCTTTCCGTCAATCAAATCAATAAAATAAGCAATCAAAAGGCCAAAGTCACACCCGGTGATCGAAAAATGAATTGAAGGGAGGGGGTAGCCGATTTCTGCTAGAAAATTCAACAAATCTAAGATTTATTTTTTCAAGAGAAAGTTTGCTCGTGAATTGCTAAATATAGGCGAAAGGTATGGTAAAATATGTCAGGTCTTCTAGGATTTTTAGGACCGATATGCTTCTAAGATCTGTTAATATCTATTAAAAAGGCGCAGCGTCACCAACGTACAAATGACATACTTATCTTGTTTTTGCTATAAATTAAACAGCGGGGCTACAAAACCAAAATGGCGTCATGAAATATCACTCCGCATCGGATATTATACAAATATTTAATTCTATTGAGGTCAATACCTGTGCATCTTTCACAAGTGATATAAGCAAAAAATAGAATTTATACTTTATGGAGATGAAAATTTAAATAGTGAACTGAATACAAAATGCCTTCAACTATCTTCAAATTATATCGATAACATCTTAGAATGACCATCCTCCTCATTTCACATCATCTCTCATTAACACTCATATACATCATCATGGGCAAGACCTGGTCGACGACCGTCTGTCCGTTGCAATCCTACACACTCCAGTGATTTATTATATGTATTTAACTTTCTATAGGGGGGGGCCAATAATGCTATGTAGCCTCGGCCCCTCACAATCTATGTAAATAATTATGTTGAATTATATGGAAATAAATAACAATAACCTAAAAAAGTGATATTCCACGAAGCCCGAAGGGCTAGTGGAATACTATCATCTTGTGAAAGTGTCACAGGTATTCACCGAAAATAGAATTAAATATTTGTTTTATTATATCACTGTCATAACATCTTCTATAACTAAATAAGTATGTTAACATTGAAATACATTTATATTTCTTCAAACAATATAACAATAAATACAATAAATATCAACTACCAAATTGTATAGTCAATAAATATCAACTCCCAAATTGTAGTATTTTAATTTAAGGTTTCATGTTAACTTATAATTAATTGTAACATTGCAATGGGTCAATGAAAATGGAACCATTGTGTTCATACTCATAGTATTGGTCATGTGGGAAACAGGGTTGGGAATGTTTTTCGTTATAATGGGATATATGAAATAAAAATTACACTGGACTAAGTCAACCCCGGTGATGTATAAGTTATGACCGTTGAATATCATTTGATATTCACCGGAAGTCACGTGAATTCCGTTGAATATCGCTTGTTATTTTTTAGTCACGTGTAGGACATGGACCAATAAGAGAGTGAGGAATATGACAGTGATATAATAATATTTAATACCTTGCCGATGCCCGGAATTCCCATCTCAAGAAAAAATTATAATCCTGTAAATTAAGACAATATTTGCACTTTACACATGGCAGAGACATTAAGAACAATTCGTTTTATGATTAAAATACGCCTAACCATCGTCAACGTACATCATCAAAAATACCGCCGTACAAATTCTCTGTACGTTGCCGTTTGGATCGCCATTTTTCTAGTCGGAGGAATCGAGGAATAAATATCATTGATTTTATCAACACTGAGTCAGTTTACTCCCATTATTCACTGCATTCCTTCGGCAATGCAGTCGCCAATATGTTAATCGATTCCATCTAGCTTCAACATTATTTTCTTTTATACATCGGTCCATACCGTCAGATATCTCTATCTTTTGCTGAACTTCGCAAAATCCTTTCTACTTCTTGTTTTGTTGTGTAGATAACAGTACAATTACGAAATCATAGGTCTTAATCAATGAATCAGAAGTACTATGAATAAATGTTTGCTTGGCAAATGCTGTCCTGTGATCGATCTGAGACTAACATTAATGATGGTCTCAGGATCCATTAAGTCATACCATTATTTCAGGCATGATCGTCAATAAAATGCTTACCTTTTGCGATTTTGTGAAATATTTCACCAGATGATCTTTTTATCGGATAGGACAACAAAACGTCTTATCGCCTCTCCTACCTGCAAATGAATGTAATTTTATTGATCCTCAGTTGAGTTTCTTATCGCGGAAATATGAGGTAATACAGCAAGGGGATTCCCCCTCTCATGGAAAACCAGGCGAGATGGATCGATGAAGATGGCGCTGCGTTGGGCCAGAGAAGAAGAAAGGGCTTTGTTATTCACCTTTCCCCAAAGTCCAAAGTGTACTCATTTGACCGCTGCGCTGATTGGTCGATGAAAATCAATGACGTTAAAGCAGTAGTCAGAAACCCATGCCTCTCTATCGTTTCAAAAAATTTACCCAACGTGGCGGTCTGTGTTAATTTATGGCATCCATACTTTTCTGAAAGGTAGTACTTTGAGGTTCAATTTTCTGCCGGATGCCCTTGCAAACTCTCATTGGTTGCTCTTTTTTGTAGCATTCCGTTACCATGGTTACGCATCTATAGACATCTTACCTTGGAATCTTAAATCATTTGTAGCTTTGTCATTATTTTGTCTATAGATATGATATTGGTATCAAATTAAACCTAAATAAATTTCTCATATAATAACAATATTTAATTATGCAAATTAGCTCATTTGCATAAATTGTGACGTCATAAATCTATTTTTTGGTTCAGAATTTTCAAGTATAGTAATGTATCTTGAAGAACTGAAGCCGTACGGTAGAATTTCAGATGGCTGCATGGGAAAACACTGCTCAGAATGCTGCTAACTGACATATATTGTACGTATGTTATTATGGAAACGCTTCAGAATGCTGCTGAATGACATGTACTGTACGTATGTTATTAAGGAAACGCCTCAGAATACTGCTAAATGACATGTGTTGTATGTACATTGTTATGGAAATGAAGGGTGAAAACATTTTCAACCAGTTATGGAATTTAGGACTCAACCTTCCTTTTTGTTAGAAAATTGGAATGGAAAGGAAAAACTTGCTATCGAAAGAAAACACAGATGAGACGCTAATGATATCTGCTTCAGAATTACTGCTTCCTGAAAATTAAGGTTACATGTAAATGTACAACTTAAATTAGGATTCTGACTCTGAGTTCATTAGATTGTGTAGTCTTTAATAATATAATTACAAATTCTCAGTTAAAAGATTTGCAATGAACAAGAACCTTTCTGCCTTATACAAACATGTTCCTGATGTGTGGGTTACAGAGATTGACGTCATTAGGAGTGGCAGAGAATGATAATTTATGTCTGTAATGTTCAGCATGTCTCTATCTGATGTACAGTAGACACTTGATATGCACAATGAAACAATGATTTACTGTATATGGGAAGGCCAACTTTATTGCATACTTTAACTTTATATATGTTTATATCATATATGTACGATGGGTGATTCAAAAGAAATTTTGTCCATTACTTTTGAATCACATCTCATATGTCAAGATACAGCCTCGGCCTTGCTGTCATGTATTAACAATCTGCGTGTTTTGTATACGCATATATATACAAGTCTTTGTATAATGATGGGTTTTCGTAAAACACCGACCGCCGACCACCGACCACCGACCACCGACCACCGACCAGTCACTCTCCACAGTTGGGTACATGTGGTCGGTGGTCGGCTGACGGTCTTTTACATAAAGATGAAAAAATGCAAAATTAGAAGTAAAACTAAAACTGGGAATCCAATGACTATAGTACCTTTACTAGGTCGTGATTTAAAAACGTATAATTATCATTTCAAATCACGATGAAAACGTTACATCGTCGTGGTGTGTAATGTCATACTTTTAAGTGATGCAAGGGAAAGATCAATACCCGGTGATTTCAGCGGGAAGTGGCGTTTCGTTCATTGGATGAGCTGCGCGCGCACGCATAAATGTGATTATCCAATATAATTAGGGGAGGGCTATTTGAAGTAGTTTTTGGTCTCAGGCGCGACCCAGGGCTGTTGTCTTAAGGACATTTCGTTGAAAATGAGCCATTCGGCTGATAATTGGTAAGAGTTTGCGATCTTATAATGTATAACTGTTACTCAGACACATATTTTGACACGATTCTGTTGGAAATAAGGCTTTGAACCGAGAGATATTCACGATTGATATGCACATTTTTGATTGTGCCATTGCTTTTCTATTGCACAACCCATGTATTGATAGAAGAAACATTAATAATACAGATTGGTTTACCTTCAATACATGGCAGACACTACATATCGGTCTATTAATACCAGTTTGTGCCTTAAATAGTTTTATATTTCCATCCACGGCCTGGAGCCTGGGTGTGTTTGTCTCTTATGTGTATGCTTGTGCATGGACTTCTAATCACTAGCAGAATTTAACATGATGCAAACTCGACATTATAACTCATGCTGTAACATTTTGACTTCGCTGGAAAACAATAGGAATTATTTTTCTTGCCAATCAATCATGAATCACAATCAAAATTTCAGAATGATCAATCAGGCAATGATTCAAATCAAGTTATAACATTATATGATATTCAGCAAGAAGTCCGGTAGAGATACAGAATATTTAAACATCAAAGCTGAAAGTTAAAAGCTAATCTGTCAATTTTCTGTCTGCAAAAGAGCGTTTACATTTAACACAATAACAGACTGAGGCTTTGTAATCTAGGATTCCCCAGGAAATTATGACGTCATACTAATTAGCATAAGGATTTCCCTATTGGTCTGGGTCGAGCCTTGTTCGAAAACACAATCCATAAATACATGCTAATTTCTAAGGAGATAGGTAGTGTATAACATGTTTATCGATTTTGTTTAAAGATTTAATCAATTATCAAATTGTTTAAGTGGATAAAGTGGTCACACTTGCTTCAATTCATAGCGAAATCGACGGATAGAAACTGACCGAATTCCCGATATCCTACCCCGTATTACTGTAGGCTATAAGCACAGTGACCTACAGAGGGCGCTATCACAAACAAGTACTGGACGAACCGATAAATTCCCGGGTATTGTAACGCCCTTGAGTGATGTTTCAGTTGTTAGAAGACCAATTTCATCCTGGTTAGTCACTTTGGAAAGAAACGCACGTAACATTGCATTAAGTTCATTCTTCATTCATATGAAACGCAATAACAAAAACACACAAACATCGTCGATGTTGACGTCGTAACGTTATGTTTGATTTCTCAGTTGTTAAACGTCAACTGGTAAAAAATACATTTGATATGACAAAAAAGCTTTTTAATGGTGTACTGAAATGGTAAGTCACTTTTAATCCCGATAAGAGAACGCATGTAACATTAGATCGTGTTCAGTATTCAGTAGGCTATGACGATAACAAATCATTTTTGTTTCGAAATTGTTAAATTTCAGTAAAAAATTAGGATAGATTCCCGTAGAAACGATAGGTTGGTTAATGATAGGTTAGGACCTAAGGCAGGGCAATTAATCGAGAGGAGACGGTCATGACCAATTTGTTTGCTTGCCATTCGTTGCAAGGTACAAAATCGGTAAAAAACGTTGCCTAGTCCAACGATTGACATTCAAGATCAAATTATTAATATTCTAAGGCTACAAATATGTTCGGTCTTTTACATGATATGGTCGGTCTTTTACACATTTTCTTCAAACCCTGTTTTGAGGCTACCAGTGGAAAACACCGACCGGTCGGTGGTCGGTGGGGTCAGTCTTTTCCGAAAACCCTATAATGATGCCAACATAAAACAGATTGTTTCACTGCAATTTTTCCTTAAAAAGATCAACTTATATATTTTTGTGTAATAGAGGTCAGATCAGTACAATGTGTCTATCAACGATTTTTGTAATATCCGTGATATTATTTAAAGTTTTCAGATTCTTTGAGTATAACATAAAGGCATCGTTAACTAATGGGGTAGGGTCAAGCATTCTTTGGTACAAGGGTATTCAACTTCTCATCATCAATTCTCAACAAAACACATCAGGGTGACGCATCCTCCGATCACAGGGCTTCAAAACCCAGAACATATTCATTCTTTTACCCCCTGCGATTAGCAGTTACCATTTCCCGATAAAGAACTCGCAATCTGATTGGCTGTCGCAACACTGTGACAGAAATCATGTATGAGTCATTGCGCATAATTAGATCACGTGATTCAGTTAAATCGGGCACATCCAAATTGGTTATAGCAGGGGGAAGAAGGAGGAACAGATTCTGGACACCTGCTTAGGAGGATTGGGTGACGTGACAATTTACAATCTGAAGTTGAAAAACAAGTTAGATAATGTAAACCTGAGAGTGGAAATTATGCTTTTCCATAGTCTGTTGACGTATTGCTCAGTGCCGCAAGATATAAACTTGTTGAAGTTGTGTGTTGGAAATTAGATTTACATAATTCTAAACTTTTCACCCTCTTTCGGAAGTCGTGTATTGGGATTGGTCAGGAAATTAGATTTACATAATTCTAAACTTTTCACCCTCTTTCGGAAGTCGTGTATTGGGATTGGTCAGGAAATTAGATTTACATAATTCTAAACTTTTCACCCTCTTTCGGAAGTCGTGTATTGGGATTGGTCAGGAAATTAGATTGACATAATTCTAAACGTTTCACCCTCTTTCGGAAGTCGTGTATTGGGATCGGTCAGGAAATTAGATTTACATAATTCTAAACTTTTCACCCTCTATAAGTAAGTCTTGTATTGGGATTGGTCAGGAAATTAGATTTACATAATTCTAAACTTTTCACCCTCTATAAGTAAGTCGTGTATTGGAAATTACCGGGGAAATTACTTGTAGATTTTATTATATTTCTACTAATTTCTACATTTTCACTCTTATATTTCAACAATGGAAAAGGTGAATCTTCATATATTAACTGAAATCATGTGACAGGTGATTAAAACAATTTGACATCAGTGCAACATTTTGGGAAATTGGACCCAAGTAAAACCAACATTTCAGTGTGACTTGGTGTGGATTCTGGCTTGTAGAGATTGATTAAAGGATTACATGTTTATTTAATTTTCACACCAGCGGCGTGGTGTGACTCTGATGAGACAGACAGCAGGGATATGCCTGTAATCTGTTGATTCTTTCACTCCATGTCCCACCAGGTACGTGGTGTGACTTGATGTGTGTCCCATTCACACCATATCCTGATAAGTAGTGAGGGTAGATGTCTCTTAAACACTTTAATTATAATCAGCTGATTATAATACATGTAGTATGAAATCAGCATTGTCACTCCTCTGTTTGTTTAATTGTATTTTCTAATGGTTGATCAGAGACAGATTGAAAATATGTAAATGCTTCAAGGTATTGTAGTCAATTGTAAATCTGGCAGTTTTGGATTGACACCAATGTTAATGCTTCGAGGTGTTGTAGTCAGATTTGAATCTGGCAGTCTTGAATTGACACCAATGTTAATGCTTCGAGGTATTGTAGTCAAATTTGAATCTAGCAGTCTTGGATTGACACCAATGTTAATGCTTCAAGTAGTAGTCAGATTTGAAACTGGCAGTCTTGAATTGACACCAATGTTAATGCTTCAAGTAGTGTAGTCAGATTTGAATCTGGCAGTCTTGAATTAACACCAATGTTAATGCTTCAAGTAGTGTAGTCAGATTTGAATCTGGCAGTCTTGAATTGACACCAATGTTAATGCTTCAAGTAGTGTAGTCAGATTTTTAATCTGGCAGTCTTGAATTGACACCAATGTTAATGCTTCAAGGTATTGTAGTCAGATTTGAAACTGGCAGTCTTTAATTGACACCAATGTCAATGCTTCAAGGTATTGTAGTCAGATTTGAATCTGGCAGTCTTGAATTGACACCAATGTTAATGCTTTTAGGTCTTGTAGTCAGATTGGAATCTGGCAGTCTTGAATTGACACCAATGTTAATGCTTCGAGGTATTGTAGTCAGATTTGAATCTGGCAGTCTTGAATTGACACCAATGTTAATGCTTGAAGTAGTGTAGTAAATTTTGAATCTGGCAGTCTTGAATTGACACCAATGTTAATGCTTCAAGTAGTGTAGTCAGATTTGAATCTGGCAGTCTTGAATTGACACCAATGTTAATGCTTAAGGTATTGTAGTCAGATATGAATCTGGCAGTCTTGAATTGACACCAATATTAATACTTTTAGGTATTGTAGTCAGATTTGAATCTGGCAGTCTTGAATTGACACCAATATTAATGCTTCGAGGTATTGTAGTCAAATTTGAATCTTGGATTGACACCAAGGTTGTATTTGTTGATCAATGATGTGCTGTTTTTGCTAGGATTTTATTGGTTCTTTACCCAGTGTGTCTCTGATTATTACGTGTTCAGGTTTGTTTTCCTTATGACTGGTGTACTCTTCGCCGACGCTTCAATGTTTTCTTTTTCTTGTGGTGTTCTGTCCTTTTTGGTCCTTTCACTTTAGCATACTGTATACTAGTACATATTGTGAAGAAGGTAACCACATCAGTGTAAAGGTCGGCAAGCAGTGTTGTATTTCTCTGGCATGTATATGGATCATGTAGATTGAATATTG